TTTACCGTGAACAAAATATATCGAAATTAATCAGGGTTACAAACTCTAATTTAGAATAATATGGTATTCTTAAAGCTATTATCTTATAACACCCCGTGGTCGAGGGGTTTACACGCTCGCTTTGGAATCGAAAGGTCTGGAGTTCAAATCCCACTTCAGACAACTCATGTTTTTTTGTGTTTTTTTTTTTAAATTAATTGTTTAAGCCAAATAAACATTGAATTGAATATCAGTGTTGCAATTAGTCTTATAGCCTATTATTTACTATAGCTATAACACTGGAAACAGCATTCGTGACACTATACAAACAAATTATTTTAAAATCTCACAACCTCCACCTTTCTGACATTCTGAGACCCAAACAAATTCAGCGCCTTCTGTGCTTTGATTTTACAGGAAGAATACAATTGGTCATATGACAGGGTAAACAACTCTTGTTGACAAGGAGGCATTTTTCGGAAACGAGTTGTGTACCCTTTTATCGAACGTGAGAAAAAATTGAAATCGCAGAATAGGTTTCATTGGAAAATATTGTAATGAAAGGTGCAACATCTCCCCCGCCCCGCACAGGCTTAAGTGGTATTCAATCTTTAATACTTAAGTTTAGGTGATCCTATTTGTTGAATATATATGATATGTTAAAATTTCGTATTTTAATGCACAATGTTAAAAATGGAGTACGGGTATTAGTTACCCGCACTCCAGAGCATGCCCATTGATTGGCTCATTTTTACTGGGGTTTACATATTGTGACGGCAGTGAAAGTGAAATCGACAGAAATGTCATATTCAGATGCTCGTTCATTGGTTCATTTTTGCCGGGGTTTCATATTGTAACAACAGGGAACGTGTTTTTATGTTTGACTATGATACAAAAGAGAAAGAACACCAAAACACTCGGTAATCTGATTAATACTCGGGGGCTACGCCCCCTCGTACAAATCAGATAACCTCGTGTTTCGGTGCTCTTTCTATTACTTAACACTGTCAAGTTAACGTTGATCCCAAAAGTAAATTTTATGAATTATTTATATGAATATGTCTATACTTTCGTATTTTAATGTCTTTTTTACAAATGTAAAATAATTATATTTATGGGACTCAGATAATTTGCGGATCACCGCATGGCCGAAAAATCGATTGATTTAAACAAAACGAGAGTATGCTTGCAGTAAACTGTAACATTGACTGTCTGTTTTTTTTTAAAATAAGAAATCTAAGGTACTTTACATAAATAAAAGGTGTACATTAAATAAATAGATAAATAAATAATGATTAATTAAAATATAAATAAATAGATAAACAAAAAAGACAAATTAAACATAACCATTCAAGGTCGCATATTTAATAATAATAATAATAATAATGATGATGATGATGATGATGATGATGATGATGATGATGATGATGATGATGATGATGATAGAATGTTGATCATAATAGTCGTGTTTTCTAAAGCAATTAATGTCATTGAACATGTTACACTCTGTCAAATGTACTCTTCATAAATCAGCAACATTTCTGTTGCCACAGAGTTTTGTATTTTCACAAATTTTGTATTTAGACAAATTTAATGTTTACACAAATCTGTACAAACTTTTAACGTACAAAACCGGGCGAAATATTTATATTCATTCATATTTACAAACTCATATTCCAAAAACGTGTTCAAATAAAGTCATCAAGACCAAATCCTGACTTATGTAACATATTTGAAAAATTTTGAACTTTAAAATTGATTTCGATTATTTTACCAATGTGGTATACGTAACGATATAATTGGTTTCGATATATTTTCTAAGTAGCACTTAAATTTGTCCTGAATCAGATAGTCATTATTTCTTTACCTCAGAGGACGGCTGTACGGTTCAGGTACGTATTTTAAAAGTTTTTTTTTTAAAAATATTGCTATAACATCTGCTTTGCTTAGAAATATTACACATCAGATTATTTTCAGCGTTTTTTAAAGTGTAATTGACTGGAATTTTCTTCAGTGCTTTTTTTATTAAGGCGCAAACAAAAATTATTCTTCATTCGCAGATAAAACGCGTTAAAACTTTATCTATCAGCGTTAATTTTTTGACAATGATATATTATTCTGTAATTATTTCTATCCTGTATTTAATGTTAACGATATTTTAACTAAAGACTAAATTACCAAAAATTTGCATAACGCTTATACTAGTATATTTTCCGTAAGTTATGAGCATTAAAATTCTTTAAAATATTTTCGAAACAAATTGGCGAGCTGCATTAAAAGGTGCAAGTATACTCTATCAATATCTCTTGAAGGTTTAAATGACTATTTTGAGAAAAATTTTTAATAATGCAACATTTAAGCGTAATTCTTAACAAGAAGTATCTTTGAAAAAAGATACTCGGCCGAATTAATAGACAGGACTGATTTTGAGAATTTGGCTCCCTATAAGATGCTAGAGGCATTTTGTAGTACAAGTGGTATCTTGGTGTATTTTACCTATTTAAGGTATGCTGAATCCGATAAGGGTGGATACCAAATTGAAAAACTTGATCTTGACCATTGAAATGGCCATTTAAAATGACCATTAATGGCCGCCAAATTTCTTTATCATAAATGGAGAATAGATCAAATAAAATTTTTAATAAAGGAAAAGCCTGAAATGTGTCACAAAGCATGTTTAGGTACAAAAGAAATTAGACACCAAAACAGAATTAAAAAAAAAAATCCAATATGGCCGAAAAATCCAAGATGGCATACATTTTTCTATAGGATAATATAATAGTAATATAGAAGTAATATTAAAGATAGTTTTGAAATTTTTAAGGCATTTAAACATATTTAGGGTTTTACGCAGCGAACACTACACTCTTTCCTGCTCTATCTGCTAGATTTTATCTGGCACTCTATGCAAGCATATATAAAGTGGCTACTCGGATGCCTACTTATATTTGCACAGCGTAAATATGTGTGAGGGGGTTAAAGCAGCACGCCTCCAGATTGACACTAATTTTCATGAAAATTTGAAAATGTATTTAAAAGTATAATATTGTGGAGTTACCAAAAGAATGCAATTTACACATTATCAATGGCACTTTCAACCCATGTAAATTACCATAAAGAGGTCAAAATATGCAGAAATAGCCCTTATTGCGTTAGTAACGCAGTAGAAATATAATTATAAATACTGAAAAATCGGTCATTAATGGCACATAACATGTAAATTATTACCAGAATTTTGAATTTTCATGTTTTTCTTAAAGTCTTTTTACATTTTTCTCAGGTTTGATTTTATCGAAATATTTTGCTCTTCTGGAGGCGTGCAGCTTTAAAACGTGTGCATGCAAAATATACATTAATTAGAGGCACATTTTTTTGAGTACTCTTGGGTTTTGTTGTTCGTTTTTCTGTAATCGGTCATCGTCTTCCGTTCGTCGGCTGCGTTCTTTTGTTATCGGTTTTCGTCGCATTTCTCTGCTGTCCGATCTTCTGTTATCGGTCATCGTCTTCGTTTTTCTGTTATCGGTTCTCGTTTTCGTTCTTCTCCGTTCTTCTGTCATCCGTTCTCGTCTCTATTCTTCTGATCTCCGTTTTCATGTTGTCAATTCTTCTGTCATCGGTTCCCGTATCTGTTATCGATCCCCGTCTCCGTCATCAGTCCACGTCTATATATTATTCTGTTATCAATCATCGTCTCCGTTGTCTTGTTGCCAGTTTATCTGTCCATGTCCTGTTCTGTTATCGGTTCTCGTTTATGTTCTTCTCCGTTCTTCTGTCATCGGTTCTCGTCTCTTTTCTTCTGTAATCAGTCCGTTTTCATGTTGTGAATTATTCTGTCATGGGCTCCCGTCTCTGTCGATCCCTGTCTCCATTCTTCTGTGATCAGTATGTTACTCTGTAATCGGTCCTCTACTGTTCTATTATCAATCCTCGTCTCCGTTGTCTTGTTGTGAGTTTTTCTGTTATCGTTCTCTGTCCTGTTCTGTTATCGGTTCTCGTTTTCGTTCTTCTGTCATCCATTCTCAGTCCTGGTCTCCGTTTTCATGTTGTCAATTCTTCTGTTATCGGTTCCTGTCTCTGTTATCGATCCCCGTCATCAGTTTTCGCTATGTTATTGTGTTATCGGTCCCCGTCTCTATTTTTCTGTTATCAATCCTCGTTGTATTGTTGTCAGTTCGTCTGTTATCAGTCTCTGTCTCTGTTATTGGCGAAGTCTCTAGTTCGCTTATTGTCATTGCCTGTCTCAGTTCGCTTGTTGTCAGTTCTTTTGTTATTGGTCGACGTATATATTCGCCTGTTGTCAGTTCTTCTGTTATCGGTCTCTATCTCTGTTAGCAGTCCTCGTCTCTGTTCGCTTGTTTTCAGTTCTTGTCTCCGTTCTTCCTTCTGTTATTGGTCGTCGTCTTCGGTCTTGTACTTTCGGTACTTGTTTCCTGCTCCGTTAAGGTCTTCTCTTATTTCTATCGATGCCGTCATTATGTGTCTATGTCCTGGTTTTGTCAGTCTTGTAGTCATTTATTCGCTCAGTGGAGTAGCGGGGGATCGAACTCACGACCCCTTGATTTGTAGGCAGACAGTGTTACCACTGCACCATTGCGCCCGCTCTGAATAATAGCCATTTTTGAAAATCCTTTATACATAAAATACTATTTCAATGACTAACAAAAGGTGTATTACAATTATATTTAAACACCTCTATTATGTATCCAACCCACGTGACTTTTATATATGGTCTCCATTTTTCACAAGTAAAATTTGTATAGATAACTTTGCTGTTACTTTTTTACCCGGAATGATGTGATAATCTTCTTGTAGAATTTTCACAAAACCGTGATTGAATTCCAAAATTTTCGAGAGCTGCCTTGGTAAAGCAAGCACACGTAGCAATATCCCAGTTTCAGACATTTTATGACTCGATGAAAATATGATGTTGTTATTGTTGTGTTAAACTTTAACTTTAAATTTCCAATTAAATAGTCACTTATTTTTAAACAAGGTGGTAAACTTAAATATGCCCAAATGTCATCAAGAGCAGTTTTGCATTTGGAAGGAATGTATTTTTCAGACTGTAAAATGAAACAAACAAAAAATTAAGAGACGATGTTTGGTGATTGGTAATTTAGATGAATAGAAGTAAGTTTTCTTCTTTTTATTACTTTTGACATTTAAGTTATTTATCAATTTCAACTTTGCTTTTCTCGAAACAGCCTGACATTGTCAGAATTGACAGCATAAATAAAATTGAGGTACCACATGGGGAAAATCTTAATAAAGTAGTTTCGTCATTGAAAAGTGTGAAATTATATTTTGATAATTTTCACTGTGAAATTATCAAATATAATTTTCACGGATAAATCAGTAATCCACTGAAAAGCATAAAATAAGAAAAACAAACTATGAAACTAATGTTAGTTAAAGTCATATCTGCTAAGAATGTAAACGTGATTGTTACTCCTGCAGTAGCACAGCCGGTTAAGTGATTGACTGATGTGTGAGAGGTCTATGGTTTGATTCCTACTGTTGCCATTTTTAAGACCTGTTGTTGTTGTTTTTTGTTTTTTGTTTTTTTGTGGGGGCGCAGTATATATTTTAAAACACTTGTTGTCTCGGTTTTTGTTGTGTTTATGGCATTGAAATGACACTTTTTGACATTTCAAAATAATTTTTAAATACTCATTTTAAACCATAAATACCATAATAAGTGCAAAATATATGAAAACAAAATGAACAACTTAAAAAAATCATAGCTACAAATAATGTTGAAAATTACGGAACACCTGAAGTGACATTTTCCAAATTTTCTCCCGGAATTGAATTCGTTTTTACGAGATAATAATTCCCAATTAGAAATATTATTTCGTTATAACGGAATATAAAATCTTAATTACGTCATATTGATTCGTTATTACGAAATATTATTTCGTTATTACGAAATATTGATTTGTTATTACGAAATATTTATTCTTTGGTAATATTTATAAACTAAGTTTATTGTTCAATACAAGTCAAGTAAACAAAACATTCAAAGTGATTTTTTTTTCAATCTTAGTCTTATACCTTAACCTTTGACTTTGATAATACTAATTAATTGCATCATATTGTATCATAGTTTTAATGACCTATTTTAGTATTTTCAAGCGGTCATTTTGAATTGACCTTTTGAAGGTCAAGGTCAATTTTATTTTCTTGGTATCCACCCTCATCGTCTTCAGCATACCCATATTAGGTTCAAACACTCAAGATATTACTTGTACTATAAAATACCTCTAGCATTCATATTTTCTTAAAATCAGTCCTGCCTATAAAACGATTTTTGCAATTGGACCGATTTGGTTTGTGGACAAAACGTTCTGTTTGCATTTTAAGCGGTGGTTTTCTATACTATACTATGCTCATCTTTGAGTAAAAAAATTTTATCAAAGAAATTTGTTAAAACGTATGAAATCCTTATCGAATATGTCTAAGTCGAATGAAAACATGAATTAACTATGTATTGGAAGTCGCGTTCCCTTTTACAGAAGAAGTAAAAATGGGCTTTTCTTAAAAAAAAACTGCCAGTTTTTTTTAACAACGCTATATATTCATATTGTGATCACCTATAGTGTGTAGAGTTTTTAACATGAAATTTATCATGCCATTACTATGACAACTGCCTGATAAAGCCTGTCTGAGAACAGCAACCTTTCTCAGTCAGTGACTTGAGAACACTATGTTCCTACGCCAGATCAGCACTGATGATGTTTATTGTTGGTATTGTTTAATTGACTTTGCTGAATATTTATGATAATACACAGTAAATAAATTGTTAAAGCAAATTGTACCAAAAATTGTGTTGTGTTATAAAATTATTGGTAAAAACCCTCGGACTACTTTTTTGGCGTATAACCCTCTTGTGGTTACCGTACTTTCAGAATTTAGCGCCCCGAATTAAAAAAATAAGATGCAAAATCATAATAGAGGCATGATAAAAAGAATAACAGGTTACTGCCTTTTGAGAAAGGGATTTCTCAGACTCGGCTAGATATGGTCCGGAAGGGGCTCGGCAAGCCCCGCCCCTTCCAGGACCATATCTAACCTCGTCTGAGAAACCCTTTCTCAAAAGACAGTAACCTGTTATTCTCTATATCTACTTCGTGTGAAGTCAAAACATGTTTATTTTATATTTATAAAGAGACTGTGTAGCAATTACCAATAATTCCTGATATCAAATTTGAGCATAGTATATCTTTAATTTTTGACAAAATTTATAACTCATTAAAGCAGCAAAAAATAATCTGTATGAGGAGCATAGTAAAAATTGAAGTCGTAATGTGAAGTTTAACAAAACTTAAGTACATGTATGTTAAATTTATCTTGATAGCAATTGTATGTTACATTGTAGTTCGTTTCCGTTACTCCTTTAGATCAATTTGAATCGCGTATACCATGTCCGAAAAATCCTTTATGTTTCTTTAACAATTTTACAATGGCCACTCAGATTCCGAGATTTCAGATTGTAATTTTTAATATGACCAATGGAATTTTAAAAAGTATCATGCTCTTCCCCAAAACCAACCCAAAACATACGGTCATCGATCGATAAAATACATTTATTGTGTTACTTTCAGCTAAAATTTTAAAGGGTCAGATGGATGTAATCATTTTTCCGTATCGATACATGCTGTTGGCGTCATATGTAGCGCTGACCATGGGTGCAAATAATACAACGACCCCTATGCAAAACTTATGGTACGACTTATTTGTTAAACAAGGCTACAGTACAGTTATTCGACCTGTATATAACACAAGTATTGTTACAGGTATGTTCTGTTATGTATATTTGTATATATAAACATTTAATATACATTGTAATGTTGTAATTTCGAAACATTCCGTCATTTTCCGCATTTTGCAATGATGAAAAAAGCGTTCGTGTGTCAAAAAGCAAGAAAAGATCCTATCAACTTGGCGCTTTTCAAACATGTAAACATGGAAAGTTACAATGGTAACAGAATCGAAATAATGTATTAGTTAATGTGTATATATATGTGTGCGTGCGTGCATGTGTGTGTGTGTGTGTGTGTGTGTGTGTGTGTGCATGTGTTTTTGTTGTTGTATCTTGATTATAATCCTTCTTGTCTCTAGAAAATTCTGTTTTTTGCTATTAATTACATTTTATGAAAATGAATTGCAAGTGTTATGTTTCTTGACGGTCGTCACTTTTTTTCTATGTTGCACAAGTATGATGTCGACTATTCATTCGAAGAATACCTCTTGAGAATTTTTATTGATAAGATACTTATTGTTTTTTTTTCGTTCAAATATGGTTCTAACTTCAGAGGTGCTTGTAAATTCGGCATATTTATCCACCTTCCCTTACCTTTCACCAAATGCCCATATAAGCATAATTATAATTAAGATCACCGATCAAACTTTGAGTCCTGTTAACCAGCCGCTTTATTTCTTACAAAAAATGTACTAGAGTCGAAAGTGAGCGAAGTCTGCAAAATTCATGCGAACGTACAACTTATGGTTTACAGAAATTCAATTTCTGTTTTTGTTGTCCAGTTTTTGTGACTTTTTTGTATTTCCTTTATTTTTCAAAATAAATAAATCGGTATCATTTTTAGATGTTTCACTGTCCTTGCATTTGAAGAGCTTAAACAGTTTTGACGAAGTTTCCGGAATCTTGTCGCTGAATGCATACATGTTTATAACATGGTATGATGCTTTCCTTACCTGGGACTCACCCGATTATGACAGCATTAGTTTGGCTCGCTGGCCTCAGGTAAGAGTAATTTTGTCAGATGTTTCTTTTTTTTTATTATTTCTCAAAATATAATTATGCAGGAAAGAATATATCGGAAATTATATTTTAGATTCCTCACTATAAAAAAGAGGGTCATGATGGCCCCGAAGTCGCTCACCTGTATATAGGCCCCCCGGAGCGGGGCCAGTTTAAACCCCAGGGCTTTTATTTGAACAAACTTGCTAGACACCCATTAAAAGATGTTTCATGCAAAACATCTAAGGTCTAGCTCGTTGGGTTTTTTAATAGAAGATTTTTTAAGTTTTTTCTTTACACATATATTTAAAAACAATGACACCCCTGGGGCAGGGCCAGTTTTGACCCCAGGGCTTTTATTTCAACAATCTTTGTAGACACTTACTAGAAGATGTTTCATGCTCAATATCTACACTCTAGCTATTCGGTTTTTTTCGAAGGAGATTTTTAAGTTTTTGCAATACACATATAAGGAAAATCAATGTCCCCCGGGGCGGGGCCAATTTTGACCCCAGGGCTCTTATTTGAAGAAACTTGGTAGACATCCATAAGAACATGTTTCATGCTAAATATCTTAGCTCTAGCTCTTTGGGTTCTTTAAAAGAAGATTTTTAAGCGTTTACTATTTTCATTTAGGGAAAATCAATGACCCCCTGGGACGGGGCCAATTTTGACCCAAGGGCTCTTATTTGAACAAACTTGGTAGACATCCATTAAAACATGTTTCATGCTGAATATCATAGCTCTAGCTCTTTGGGTCTTTTTAAAAGAAGATTTTTAAGTTTTTACTATATGTATATAGGAAAAATCAATGACCCCCTGGGGCGGAGCCAATTTTGACCCCAGGGCTTTTATTTGAACAAACTTGGTAGACACTCATTAGAAGATGTTTCATGCTAAATATCTTAGCTCTAGCTCTTTTGGGTTCTTTAAAAGAAGATTTTTTAAGTTTTTACTATTTACATATAGGGAAAATCAATGACCCCCTTGGGCGGGGCCAATTTTGACCCCAGGGAATTTATTTGAACAATTTGGTAGACACTCACTAGAAGATGTTTCATGCCAAATATCTAAGCTCTAGCTCTTCGGATTTTTTAGAAGAAGATATTTAAAGTTTTTTTCTTTTGGTTGCCATGGCATTTGAACCAGAGTTCTGCATGGAATTAAATTCTTTGAACATTCCTGTGAAGTTTGGATGAAATTGGCTTAATGGTTTATGAGGAGATGTCATTTAAAGTAAAAGTTTACGGACGACGGACGGACGACGGACGGACGGACGCCGGACGAAAAGCGATCACAAAAGCTCACCCTGTCACAAAGTGACAGGTGAGCTAAAAAGGAGGGGATTTGTCGGAAATTAGATTTTCAAGTCTTTGGTTAGAAGGATTTTTTTTATTTTCTTTTCATCGTAAAAACAAAAGAAGTCTTAAAGACCTGTCATGTCAGATTAAACCATAAACGTTTGGCCTTTTGTGATAGGATATATGTCCTTCTTTGTATGCCAAGTGACCTGCAGCGTCCGGGCATCGAACCACATTGATTTACCGTCTAACGCTAACCGTTAGATATATACCTAAGGAGACAAGTGGGGCGCTAACAGGTATGGAAATATGGAAAGCCATGGCTGTCTCATATTGTTATTTTATAATTGATTTAACCATTAGGATAATATATACTTCGACAATATATGAATTGAAAACACATTCTTATTAAACCGGAAACTATATATTATATAGATCCAAAGTACACTATATGAAACCATGCCGCCAATGTAATGAAACCAAGTTAGCTATATAGAAGTTGATTTTCTCAATATAATTATGATTCTCAGTTCTTCAATATATTGTACCAAATTTTCCTTTTACCTATGACTTCTCTCTAAAAACTGACTATTTGATTCGGTTTCATATTAATGATATCTGTCATATGTTGCGGTTCGGACCGGAATATCCGTCCCGAGGGGACCCGCCCAATGGGCGGTAACGAGGCTTGCCGAGTTAACGCCCATGGGCGGGTTCCCGAGGGACGGATATTCCGATCCGAACCGCAAACATATATGTTAGATATTTTTTCTTGCATATTCTGCCATATTATTTCATATTTAAAATGGTTAACCTCAATATGATATATGTTCATGGAAATTAAAGTCATTTCATCCGTAACTGTTTTCTTACAATAATGTATGAATTTACAACTTAAATAACAACGCCGAAATGACGTCATCTTTAGCACATATTTCCCTTCTAAAACGACGTCATTTTAACGCGGTTCATCCATAAAGTGCGCTAAAATGACGTTGTTGTTTGGCACGCGACTCATCTGGCACCCCCCCATGCCAGATGAAATTTCCGGCATGGGTAAAACTCACGGAAACGCCAGTCTGCTATGCAAGAAATGGACATCTGGTTCCATGTATACATGACTTCTTTGGTACGATATATTGAATAACTGATATCATATAATGTGATAATCATCTTATATATTGCTATTTCGGTTCCATTAATTGATAAAATGGTTCTTTATATAGAAAAAAATGAATTAATATATTGATAAATCATTATCGGTTTCATATAAGGACATCTGGTTCCATACTTTGCTCCTTTGGTACAATACGTGGGTTGTCCCAAAATGTAGACTACATTATTTCTCTTCAGCCTGATGTCATAACTTAATAAAATTTACCAGATATCTTCCTTGGTCATTTGTTAATTTACCTACTTAAAGTCAATAGCAAATATATTAGGTAACGCTTTTTATCAGGGTTTTATATTTAACAGTACAACTTACCCTGAGCACGATAAAATATTAGTCAGTGTTGAGAGCATGCTTCTTAAAATAATGCCTTTAACTTCTAGCATAATAATAATGATGGGAAATACCTTCATGTGGAATTACGTCATTCATCTTTACGTTATATCACCAACAGACGTTTATCACACACCCGTGCCGATTTTGCGACTCCGTAAATAGTATTGCACGGCCGTGCATATATTTTGACGTGACGTCATTAGCGTTATACAAGCATAGTGTAAAGACGCGCTGAACAATAGCGTTATACTATAGGCGCGTCAATGAAAATTGACTCTTATTCACTTTAAACGGTCTTTATTTGGGTATGTGATAAATAGAATATTAAATTCGTGTAAGTTTATTACTGAATTTATTGCACTCGTTGAATAAAATAATATTATGCTCGCCAGAGGCTCGCATAATATAATTTTATCCAACTTGTGCAATAAATTCAGTATTGAACTTACACTCATTCAATATCCTCTATTTATGTGACGTTAATTTGAAAAAGTCTGTAGCATAATACGTAACAGCAGTTCTATTTTGAAAATGCCCAAAATTGCGACGTCAGATGAAAATGAGGCGCAACGCAATGTCATTGAATATTGTGTTAGGTTGAAGAATCGTCCATCGTTAATTGACAACATGGAGAACATTATATTTTATCAAGATAATGCACCTTGCCATAGATTTCAGGAGACACAGATTGAATTTGATGTGATAGGTTTTCAGATACTTCCGTCCGCCCTATGACTTTGCAGTGTAACCTTATTTGAAATCACAATTACGAGGTCACAGGTTCGAAAACTTCAGCGAACTCCGTCAGGAAACTCAACTCTGCGAGTGTTGAGTACGTTTTGAAAACGTTTATGATAAATGGGTCGCCCCACACTGACAGTGCATAGCGAAACACTGTGAATACTTTGAAAAACATTTTAAAAAATCTTAAAACGTCATGGCGTTTATGACGGTGTGCGCCGGGTATGTATAGGTAGCATTCTTTAAATTTTGATAACTTGGTCAATTTTGGAGGTATTTTGATTTTATTTCGCATAGACACATATAAAAGGTGTATTGAATTTTCCCTAGCATGAGGACTCTATTGTATTATAATTGATTGAGTAACAGACTTTGTCTACGATATTTTGGGACAGCCCTCGTATATTGAAGAACTGGTATCATATATTGAGAAAATCAACTTATATAATTATAGCTACCTTGGTTTCATACATTGACGGCATTGGTTCATATAGTGTAGCTGTCGATTAATAATATAATGGCTTCCGGTTTTAATAAAGTTCAATTATATATAGTCGAAGTGAACTTATAGTTAATAACAATGTAAGACAGCAATGACTTCCATAAAAAGGATTTTTTTAAGATTTTCATTCAGACACATTTTTTTAATTTACTTTTTTTTGGTCACCGATTGAAATTTTAGAATATTTTTGGGAAAACCAGACTTACATTTACAAAAACTGTGGCAGTTATCTACCTTAGGACCCATCTATCTTGTTAAAAAATGCTGCAGATGGCACAATAGACTGGTCACCAATGGAGGTAACTTGATAAATAATAACAGTTGCTTTCTGTAATAAAAACTTGTCATGTAGCTACAGGAGGAAACGCTACACATACTCAATCGGAACGTCCTCGGCTTTAATCTTGATAAGAAGACTGACGGAGAGGACCGAAAAGTTGCGATTGGCTTTATTCCCGGGAAATCGCGGAAATTATCAAATAGAATGCGGAAAAAGATAAAACCGCTTATTATGTCATTACTTTTGGCGCGGCTTTTGTTTGGTTGCCAATGGAGGTTACTTGATTCAGTAGCCGTTATATTTAGTAATTTTTTTCGGCGATTGATACTGATTAATGAGTTAAAAATTGCATGACATGTTAAACTTGCTTAAAATAATTGTGTGTTCTTTTTAAATATATATGTTTAAACCTAATCACATTGTTGATTTTTATTTTGTAGATATTTGAGAGTTCATGTCCCGTGGATATGACTTATTTTCCCTATGACATTCAGACGTGCGAACTACAGTTTATGTCGTGGAGCTACACAGATGACTCGGTAAACATTGTTACAATAAGCCGTAATAACCCGAAATTCAGCAATATAACTTTTATTACACTGTTTAAAGTGCAGAGATATGTTTGACTCACTAGAAAAAAAACAAGGTTATATATTGCAACAAACAAATATCCTCAACATTGCACGTACCGTTATTTCAAAGAAACAAGAACAATTCACAGTAGATAGAAATCCAAAAAGTTTTTAATTTGCGTATTATTATGTTACATGCAGTATGAAAACATTGTCTGAAATAAGTGGTTTTGATATATATTTCTATGCCATTATAAACGGAATACGTAAGATATTTTGTTTCATTAAATGTACTAATAAAGTCTTATCATGTGATATATCTACGGAGTTATTTTTTATAATATAGTATAAATATTAAAACCACTTTCTGAATGTTGAAAATAAGGCATGTTTACAATTTATTGTATTTTGCAGCTTTAAAAGTATTCCAGGTTATAGGGTTTTTTTTAATTGAGCTTGTTCAAAGACGATATTGTAGTGGGTAGTGTATCTCTAATCTAGTGAAAGGATCTTAGTTTTCGATTCAATTCACTAATGCAAAATGATGCTTATGTGTTTTTTACTATAAAATAGGTACAACTATACACGAATAGAATCGAATACGTAGATCTGGAGGACTTCACGCCAAACCCACAGTGGGAAATTATATCTACAGACATCTTTTTTGCCAACAACACACCAGCTAATCACGTGGAAGTGCTCTCGTTCCAAATACAAATGCGACGAAAACCGCGTTATCATTTGTCTACAATGTTTCTTCCGATAGTGCTGCTCGCTGTTTTGGACATTTTTGTATTTATTTTACCCAGCGATGGTGGGGAGAAGTCCGGATATGCTGTCACAGTTTTCTTAGCATTTACTGTCTTTCTAACAATTGTGAATTCAACTATGCCCGAGAACTCGGAGAATTTGCCAATCTTTTCCATGTATATTATTATACAAACTGGACAGAGCACATTGATTACAATGTTCTCGCTACTTTCTATTCGTATTGCGTCTTTTGACGAAACAACTAGAATTCCATGCGTCTTAGCTGCAATGAGCAGACTGGTCAGAATGATACAGTGCAAAACAACCTGCAAGAACAGATGTACCACAAAGATCAATAAAATCGGAAACGAAGATGAATGTGGAGGCGATGATGATAGTTACGTTGATCGGAAGGATAGCGATTACAGCCTTGAAAATGAGACATTGACATGGCGACATGTTGCTAATGCAGGGGATTTAGTTTGCTTCGTTATTTTCTCTGCAGCTTTTGTAATCTCGACAGTCGTTTGCTTTTGTGCAATTGAACGTGGTGGACGGTAATATCGCGGTTTCTTTTGTTTTGTTTTATTTGAGAAAGTGTCAAAGGCTCTTGGTTTCCGGATAAGAACGCTTTTGCAAGGTCTGTAGGACTCAAATATAATTTTTAACGTAAATGTTTCAATTCTAAAACCGTCATTTTCCGATGTTGCTAAGAAAAATGACAGTTTAAGAATCGAGACATCTACGTTAAAACATCGTTACATTCAATTAAATTTGAGTCAAAAATATTTTTTACCCGAAACCAAGTGCCTATGGAATTTATCACAATGCTTTTTTGTATTTGTAGATTTAATTTTCTTTATGACCATTCTAATCTGTAGTAGTTAAAATTCAGAAAACAAAAACCTGGATAGTATGTTTTCATACTCACTGAATTCTTTATATGTGAATATTTTAAAAGTGGTGGTCTTCTTGAATAAAATAAACCATGAGAACTCATTTCTTTTCTTTATTCCGTTATTGGTTAAAATCAAAAATGATAACAAGCTAAAAGTATATCATCAATTGCAACTTTTAAAGGCTCTTTCTGTCAAAATTTGGGTAAGGATGATTATGAGTTATCGGCAGATGTTCCGAATGGTATATGCAAAGCATTTTAAATGGAGAATATCGTAAATTGAATTGAATAAAGTGACTACATAATTATATTCATATTTGTATCAAATATTTTATAGGTTTCAAGAATCTATATAACCGACTTCAAAAGGTAATCAAGGCTAAAATTTTACTAATCCATTGTCCAGTGCTGATAAAAAAACAACAACAACTATAGTTGCATGATTTATAGTTTCATAGTTAACTACAATTTTCTTTGTATAATAAATACAGCAATATTGTAGCAGACATTAGACATTTTTCTTTGTTCAAAACAAGATTAGTAATTATATAAACATAATTACCCATTATTTTTTTCTTCAATGCCCTATATACATGAAAATACCCATGATATATATAAAATCTTAAAAATTCTTAAAAATAGATTTTTGACAACAATTCTGACAAAATAATAAAGCACCTTTATAATCTATAACACGCCGATACATTGTAACACACAATCTGATTTTTGTTCAAGAAGAAACACAAGAGTGTAAATAGTTTTGTTCGTACACTTATCATCAAAATTCCTAATACTTTGTTAAATCATACGATTTCATTTGGCGACGACTGTTTTCCATTCCCTGCCAATCTCTTGGTCGTAACAATCCCATTTTCTGACTAGTTTGCCAAAGATTTTTTTGGCACGGCACAACAAGTGTCAAGGTAACAACTTTTCTCTGGACCACATGCTAAAACACAGCAAGATGGCATGTTGTCCCAGTCCTGGAATAAACAGTACTTACATGCAGAATGATAACAAAGTCATAATATCTTTTAAGAATTTATCATGTGAAAATTTGTCTGTGGAAAGACGGATGTATTGACAATACTATACCATTTAACGTTCGAAGGTCTTCAAGCATGCAAAAAACATTTATTTTTTCAAACATCTTGAAAAATAAAAATAAAAAGGAAAGTGATTCTTAAGAATAAACATGTAACCACAAAAGTCAACAGTTTTTCTGGTTTCAAATATGCATATCTTGATCAACTATGACAATTTTTTTCGACAGAAAATACCTCAGAAAATTCAGGTTGAATAGTTGTGGAATGTATTCCCTCATCATGAAAGAGGTCTATTATTTTCCTTGCTAAAGCCATGTACTCGTGTGGATTACGACAACCGATGTGGGCGGAGGCAATCACTCGATTTCCAGCTAGCTGCCATACGTGAAACTCGTGTACATCTTCTACACCATCTATCTATATGCAAAACAAAAGCGATTAAAATATCATCACACTTGTACCCTGCTGAAATTGTAATCTGTTTTAATTTATTGTAATACCCTGCATTTAATTTTGAAAAATCAATTATTATGCGAAACCTAACCAAGCTTTATATCTTAAAAAGATTTCTCCACCTTTCAATCTGAACAAAACATTCATTTCTATCACACAAGGAGAGCATTAGACCGCCTCCGTGGCCGATGGGTTAGATTCGATGACCTCTCTGGCGTGGGTTGGATCCCAGGGAGATGCTTTGGTAGTTTAGCACGGAGGAAGGTAGTCGAGTACTGGTGTACCTCTCCAGGAACGATGGTTAGGAAGCTACCCACCTGTATGACTGAATTACTGTTGGAAAAAGGCGTAAAATGAAACAAACAAGGGGGCATTGACCCTAATACGCCCACCTGAAGAGGGGCCATTTTTGATCCGAGGGCTATAATTTGAATAATCTTGGTAGTGGTCCACAACACAATGTTTCTAACCAATAATTTTACCTCTAGCTTTTGTCGATTCAGAGTTTTTTTTCGTTCTTACTATATACATATAAGGAAATTAATGACCCCTTAGAGAGATGCCAAATTAAATCCAAGCGCTATAATGTGAACAATTTTTGTAGAGTTTCATTAGATGAAGCTATACAAAAATATCTAAGCACTGGGCCTTACAAGTTTAGAGAAGATTTTTGAAAATTTCATTTTTATAATCCACTTTTAACCCGTCTGGTCCAGATGTTCAATGGAGCAGAAACATTTAAACAATTTAAGTAGAGCTTCATGCTGGGACGATGGACGACAGACAAATTTTGATCACAAAAGCTCACCGTAAGAACTTTGTGCTGAGGTGTGCTCAAAACACTGCAGAAATTTTGATAAAATGTTGTATTGTTACAAGCAACTTACTTTCATCATTTTATCTTTTATATCTGTTACTTGTATATGCGTAGGTACTGCCTGTAAAAGTATTAATGCTGCCTTTTTTACTGCAATAAAAGATACGTCCATAAAATAGGTGCTTGGCTTTTGTTAGAGAAAGAAAAGGGGCATGAATCGGCAAAAAAGCTTACTTTTAATTGGGCCTGTGCCAATCATGTTTGATAAAACACAAAGAGCATAACCATAATCAACTGTGACTGAGAAACCAAGACAGGGGTGCGTACAATAGCTCTCCCTTTTCTTCGAGTAGTTGAGGTCAAACAAACTATTGCTTGATGAAATTTAATTGGAAATAAAATGCAAGAAGTATAACATAAACAAAATACATATTCATGTACTTACAAAGTGGTATTGTTGTTGAAAAAATAATGAACACCATGACGATGCTGTAAACAAAATAAATTCTATTAATACTTTATATAAAATGTCTTCAACAACCTGGATTTTTTGGCGTTTGGAGTAATCATGGCATATGCAAACATTTATATCTTATCTAGATGCTTAGAACTAGATTGAAACATTATGAACTTTCTTTCTGCAGTGGTGAATAAGAGTAGAAAGACCCATTATTGCAGTGATTAAAATGTAAGAGAAAGCGGTCTTTTCGTATAAATTTTATAGGTGAAATAGGTGGAAACGTCATTTGATTTACAAGTGAGAGTCCTGCCAAATAAATTGATAAGGTCTTTTTTAATCAGTTACAATGCAAGTTGCAATATTTGTAGTTCTGTGCAGTCAATTAAGGCTCAATTATGCCAATTGAATTATTCATATATATATATATTATTTTTTCAGTATATTTCTAAAAATCTTTTACATATTTTGCTGTTTTAAGTGTCCCATTCTAGTCAATGTAAGAATACCATATTTCATGTTTTAAGGATTTTGTAGCTAAGTTGAGTACGTTTCAAGAATCCGAAATCCATGAATGAATTTGAACATAACATAATTTAAAAAGTGATAAGATCAAGTGATTATAAGTCAACCACCGTAACCACTTGGTCAAGGAGGTCATTTTATGGTAAATGATCATAATTCTATCTATTTTTCCCAAATAACTTTCCCTTTTTAAAGTCAACCATCGTACCCATGACTTGGCCAAGCAGGCCATTTGAAGGTAAATGATCATAATTTTGTCTTTTTCTTCAAATTACCCGTTTTTTATCATTTTCTAAAAATTGAACCTAATCAGAGCAAATAAAGATAATGAATCGTGTCTGCCAGTAGTTAACGACTAGCCAAGCCTGTACATATGTGTAATGCATAACAACTCTATACTTCAGAAGTTCAATGCTTTTATATTAAAATTCGTCAAAATAACAATGGAAACTATCAAATCCATAATCATTTAACTATCAAAATATGGAAACAAAATTATTCCTCGAAAGCATTAATCACAACAAAATTACAAAAAGAGTAACAGACTCGGTTTGATTGAGACTGTACATGAGGGATAATGAATAAGTGCAACATCCCTCACGCTCCCAAACAAAGACATTTCCACAAGTTATAAACTTAGCTGAGTTACTGGATAAAAACTCAACAAGAAATCAAAGAGCTTACCTCATACCAGGGTCTACATAATACACCCAGTCTTCGTCTACAAACCAAATAACTAGAGCACTTATTACAACAATCACTGAGCCGAGAGCATCACCCAATACATGTAAAAATACTGCTCTCATATTAAGTTGAGCACTTGAAGCTGAAAAGTATAAAAAAGTATAAAAACATCCTCCATTATATCATTTTTATATGTACATTTTGTATTTCAAGTAAATGACTGCATTACTTAATTAATTGCACTACGTAAATCAGTATAGATTGGTAAATCAGTATAGCAACTGTATGTTTATGTTTAATACATTATAATGATCTTTACTTATAAGCCACACTTACATAATGACTTTAAACTTTTCTTGCTAAGGTACCTTTCCATTCATTATTTCAGGCATGAGTGAACAAAGGAGTAGATCTGCATGCCTTCGGATAGTATAAAGTTATGTTACTTACAAAAGCTATTCTCGTCAAATTCTATCACCACTTCTTCCATATCAACCTCCGAACCACTAGAACATACTTCAACTGGTCCTGGCTTCTTCTCGACCAATGTTTCGCTTTCTTTTTGAGCTGCATGGTCTTCCTCAGTATTTTTATCCCCGTGATTGTGACCACGACCGACAGCTCCAACATGACTATGATCTTTAATAAATAAAATATATTCTAAAATGGCATCGTTTTTTTCATGGGCCTACAAAAATCTACATATAGGGGTATTTTATCTATTTTACTTAAAACAATAGGGCTTTAGTATTATCCAATGGTTTTTAAGTTTCGCACATAAAGTTCAAGAAAAATCAGTTACTAAAGCATTACAAACAATTTTAAATACTAGACAGACACTGTATTTTTTTCCACAAACTAGCATTGCCAATGTCATATCATAATAAAACACTGCACATACCATGGTTATAAAACAAGGCAAGTCCGAGAAAATTTATCAGGAGACCAGTGCAGCCTACAATCAAGAGCAACTTGGGGTTTTCTATCTTTTCTATTTCTACCAGCCTCTTCAATACATAAACCAAGATAGAAAAGCACAGGGCTATAAGGAAAACTGAGTTTACCAGAGCCCCGACTATTTCCGCTCTCTCCCAACCAAATGTGTTCTTTTGAGAGCGACATTTTGATATCTGAAAATAAATAAAAGTGTTAATAAAGTGTCAGTTAGTTGTTTTCATTCATAAAAGTCATTTTACAATCAATATTTCTTCAATTTAAGCACGCAGAAAAACGCAAAATATTACATCAAACATAGTGTATTTGGTTCTAATTGCCAAAATACCATGCTCAGCCAGTTCTTCCCTAAATTAAAGCATGTGACAGCAGCTTTTCTGATCATATAAACATGTTTCTTTTTCAATATTATCTGCCATACAACATCATATAGAGCAGATAAAAAACAGTACTTATTTTATTGAACGAGTTACATGTGGAGTCATTAAAAAACATAAATTTTCATCATTGTCATTAGTAAATGTAGGCATTTAGAACGTCTTGTCCCAAAGGTTGTTTTATCAAAGTATGGAGATAATCAATTTATTAATTACAAAGTTACAATCAATAATAGTAACAATCAGTGAAAATTCAATAAATTTACCTTCAACGTCAAGGTCATAGTCAATTTGAGTTTGATATACATGAAGATATTATCCTATAGAATGTGCTATTATAATATTAAGTTAATCAATTCAAAATAACAAAGTTTTTGAGAGTAAAAGCAAAAAATGAAAATTTCAATAATTGACATTCAAAGTCAATGTCATTTATATAAGTGAAGGTCAAGGTCTGTCTGGTGAACTTGAAGGTCTATCATAAACAATAATGTTGAAGTTTACAGACAATCCATTCAAAAGTAACAGAGTTATAGCCACTTAAAGCAAAAATTGGCAAAAAACAAGCAAAATATAGACCTTGAAGTTCAAGGTCATTTAGAAAAATGAAGTAAAAGGTTAATTTGAATTTCTTAGAGTCTTGTCCCAAAGGTTGTTGTGGCAAAATATGAAGACAATGCACCAATAACTTAAAAAGTTAAGTTCAAGATAAAAGGCAACGGCAACGTCAAAAACATGCCTATTCTTGGCCTTAGACCTTTGATGATTGAACCTCCAGTTACGTCCTTAGTGGAACTTAATCAATTTGAATCGAGGAGGCAAGAATATGTTACAAAACAATATATATCTTACCCTGACTGAGACGAAGCCAACAATTAGCGCCACAATGTGAGATAGTATGTGAAAAGAGTCCGCTACTAGAGATAAAGAATTTGTGATATATCCCACAATAATCTCTACGACAAAGAACGAAGTTGTTATACTCAGAATGGTTAACAGACGGCAAGTTTTTCCACTGTATTTACCCATCTTGCTACAAACTTTATTACTTTACAACCTGAAAATAATGATTTGACGATTTAGATGGATAGAAAAGGATAGGATAAGATAAGATAAGATAGGATAGATAGATATTATTGTTCATCTGGTTATACAATTATACAACATGACATAAAACAATATTAAAATTAATATTTTTACAACACAGAAGTTAAACAAGGCATATTTTATACAAAGTCAGGTGATTGAAAATAGGTTAATTTTGTAAGCAGCATGAGTAGGGTTAATTGAGAAAATGTAGTTGAATAAGAAGAAAAAAAATATGTTCGTTTATGCCTTATGGTATGGTATATTTGAGGAAAGGGACACATATGTAAACAGACTGATAAAGAATAAATATTTTATTATGTTTGTCTTGGTTGTGGTAGAAGATAGCACGGTCCTCGTTCTAAGTTTATCAGAGTTGGCCACCAGAGTAGGCAAAACTGGCGCTATGATGACTGCAATCGTCTTCCTCTATCTGTTGTAGCATGCGCCCCATCAAACTGAAAGGATAATTGACCTGTCTACGTCATGGAAAACGCGTTTACGGCGTATGCATCTGGGTCACGATATCTAGAAACGTAACTAATTTAGTTTTTCATTTAACCTACACGTAGATGCAAATAAATCAAATTTCATATCGGGATAATTATTGCATCTCAATGATTTCCATTCAAAATGAAGTTTTTTAACATACCGTTCGTTGAATTGTCGGAGATTCAATATAATACGCACGCGTACGTCTTTCTTAAGTATAATAAGTATGTTATAGAAGTATGTTAGAAGTAAATTCGTCATGTGTATTGATTGGTGCCTGTTCCAAAATGACGCATTTTAAAAACTGATTTAGTTATTTATCGTATTTTCTCTGTTTCGGCTTTTGAAAATTTATTAGAGTCATAGGTTTTTCTGATATTTCGGCACTGCACTCCAATCATCTGTCGTAAAAGTTTCCCAAGTAGAAATATCATCAGCTGTTTTATTCACATTAAAATAAATTATCGTAATTCGAGTTCGAATTGTTATCAACTTACATTAACTACTTCCGCCTATGTTTGCCCCTCTTTGCAATGTGTTGTTTCCTCATGGGTGACTGAAATTTGTCTATTCTCGGAGAGAACAGGGACTACAGCCTGGCATATTGAACCCTGCATTCTTTGCAAAGTAAAATCGAAAGCCTTCGTGTCGCGTTTTAATTGTTCCCATAATTGTTCTTCTTCTGTCCACATTGCAAGAACGTTTGTGTTTTAATGCCAACGATTTGGCTTTATCCTCCTACGGTTTAGCTTTGTTAGTCAAACATGTCAAGTCATTCGAAAGTTCTTGTCCCGTCTATTCATTGCCTTAAAACATTATCTATATCAAAGCATTCAGGGGCATGCATCTGCTCTTGTCTCAATATCAATCCATCATCATCTGATGGCAAGCACTATGCAAGTCCCTTTCAGGAGAAGTCCAAGATCGCTTTGCAGCACTGCCTCCCAATTTGAAAAGTTGTCATTGCGCAATAAATCACATTGGTGTCATTGTCTCAGTGATGATTTGCAGTGATGCTGCAAGCTGTTATGGACTCTGGCGTAATGGCACTTTTTCCCATTTCCAACAAACCTTCAAAAATGTTTGTGTCTCCTGGATTTAAAATTTCCAAAAGAAAAACCACCTTCAACTTTAATGTCAGGATAAAAGATTGAACCCTCAAATACATTGCTTGTAAAAACAATGTGTCCGTTTGGCGCAACAGCAACAAGAACCTTGAAAATTGCATGAATATTTCCCGGCCGTTGAAAAAAGATTCAGTGCAGTCTATAATGCAATGTTTTTGTATTTCTTGAAACACAATTGAACGTTTTCCTGTAGTTTACCTCTTTCACAAAACATTAGTTGCTTTGAGGAAACTGCTTATTCGTAAACTGTATCCAAGTTAATACAACTTTAGAAACAGTAGACTCACCAACTCCAAATCGATAAGCAAGGTCTTTTTGAGTATATCCCCATCGAAGGCGCATTAAAGACATCAAAAGTGCATCTTTTGGTTTGACACAAAATTCAGTTTGTGCTGTTCAAGTCCAGTTTTGTAAATGATAGAAAGTTGGTGACAAAAAGTTGGATAATTGTAAAAATCTAGGTCATGTCAAACCGGGGAAGAATCTACAATTTTTGTTATCATTTTCAATGTCAGAAGTGGAGAAAAATCTACTGTTTTGTCATAATAGTTGATATCATGGCATCCTTTAACAGACAGTGGTTGTGAATGATTAATTAGGTTTTTATTCAGTGTCATTTTGCTCCAATCCATAGATTCAAACTTCAAAATTTTGTTTTCAAAGTACCTTGGAACTTCTTTCAGCTGTTTGAATCCGATTAACACAATGTCGACAGATGTTAACAATTCGTGGTTGTTCTCTTTATCCTCCTGAATAAGACAAATGTTCTTTCATATTTATAACCTTATTATTATCTTATAAAAAAATATAATAAAAAATATTTTGTTTTTTTATATGCAAATATTGGGAGATTACAATAGAGAAATCTAGCTATCAAGTTTAAGTTTTTGTAAAAAAAAAGTTCTATAATTACATTACACAAAGTATATAGTTTCCACAACATACATTGCTTTACTGTACAGTACAGAATCTTAAAAATCTGAGATACAAGTATTTCTGCACTTAAAAAGTTCTCTTCATATTTTGTGGAGTAGTTTGCCATACATCTCGTAAAAGTTTCATCCCATGATCGTTTCAATTGAAATACGAACAATCTGAAAAATATATTTTTGTTCAGTGCACGGTACTTACTTTTGTTATTTTTTCTACTGCATTCTTAATCTTAAATGGATTATGGAAAGACAAAGTTGAATTTCTTGACACTTAAAATAATAATGGAAAAGGTTTACTATCCTACATACAAAAGTGTAAATATCACCTATCTATGAAATTAATTCATGTCGATGGATGGCCTTAAAGACATGTCATACTGATACAAAAATATCCGAATGCATAACATGATAAATAATATCACGTGTATTAAAGTATAGACTAGATTTACCTAAATCATATTTAGGTGCACTTGCAGTCAACGGATCCGGGTAGCCTTCCAATGGATCATTTCCATCGAAAAGTAGACTGCAAATATATGTGTCTTTCCTCTCACGACTTGCATCAAAATCTGACCGGCCCAGCGAGTGCATTTCTCCGACTCCCTTTCAATTTGCGGAAATCGTATGTAAAACAAATATTTTTTTTCCATTCCTGGCCTGTCAGGGTACTGTATGTTACAACGGTATTTATTTTTCCCTTTTATTTTCACACTAAATTCCATTTCCAACTTCTTCTTACAGTTGTATAAATTTTCTTAAACAAAGTAAATAATCGCTGGTGAACAACATGTGTAATGTAGATTTCGAATCAACTCATCCCGTGGTCAACATGTCACCTTTTTGGTCAACTCGTCCCATGATGAACCCAAGTCAAGTCAAGTAAAATCTATTTATAAGTCGGATTCATAACATAAGCTTCAATGAGCTTTTTACACCGACTTCTGTAATATATTACATTGGGTTAAGATATGATACACATTATATGAAAAACATGGTTACAATACAAGGAAAGCTTCAGATAAGACCAAAAGCATTGCACTAACTTACATCAGTAGCATGCAAAAGTAAGAAGTAATGCACATTATGATCTGATATAAATAAATAAATATCTATTAAGATATATAAAACACGCAACATTAAGCAAAATAAAAACGTCGGGCATACATATACACAGTTAAATGCATAGTCACACAGAGTTTTAAAAATATAGCAAATTATGTATATAACGCATGGTTAAGACTAAGCAATATAAAATGGTAAAGAAGGTAAAGATATGCAAAATGAGCAACAACCCTGACATTTTAATACACACAACATATATATGTATAATGTGTGTATTTAAATGTCAGGGTTGTTGCTAATTATGCATTTCTTTACCTTTTATATATATATATATATATAAAGATGATACATTGATATATAGCACATATTAAAATGTAAACAAATCAAGCGCAATAAAAGCATATAAAGGAAAGAGTAATAATGGCTATAATAAGCATATTGTCACAGTGTGAGTCAACAGCAAACATAATTAGAGATAACTACAGAGCAAACTTGAAAAATCCTGCATGTTGCTGCGTTATGTGACCCGTCCCGTGGTCCACTAATCCCTTATTTTTATTATTAATTAATTCTAATATTTGATAAAATTATCAGAGAGTTTAAGATACATCTTTTAAAAAAAACCCAGAATGATACGTATTTAAATTCAAAAATACACGCGATGATCGTGCCAAAAGTTATTAAAATGGCCATACACGGTACATTTAAATTACGTGTGTTAAATAAAAAATAATTGTTGCGTTTGTTCTTAATTTTCGATTAAAATATCATTACTTTACTATTTTACTTAAAGGCTTACCCGCAATGATGAGTATATTACCTGAATTACTTTTGCATGCGCAGCGTTCTCGTAGTAGTTGCACGCCTAACACGTGCGTATTTTTTCCGCGCTTCAGCGAGGCAAAATTTGTACATATATAAGGTTGTACTTTTTGTGACGTTTTTTTAAAATTCTTAGCCTTTTCATATAAAAATAAAACAATTATTGACTAGTGAGCCATTGAATATGCGGCCGAAAGTCATATTGACTGGGCTATCGCCTCGGCCAATATGTCATCTGCCGGTGAATATTACATCATTATAGTCAATAATTGTATAATAAAATGCATATTCTCCAAATGACGAACTTTGTTTTCTACGGTATAAAGTCACAACTTTAAAAAAATATAAAGTCCGAGACGAAATATAATATCGAATTCATTAAAAAAATCTGAAACTCGGTTAAATTAATTTTTTTTTTGTATACGGTGTGAGATTCAACGTCTAATGATGATGTTAATATCTGTTACCTGCTTTTTAGAATGTTTACAAACAGTTAGCGTAACGCGCTATACAGTATATATGCGCAGAAAGTAGTATCATATGAATATGTAAAGATATAATATTAGTTCCATTTCTTAATTTAACACCTCGGAAGGGATTTGGAGAAGATTTTTAGCATAAATTCATCAAGGAAACATTTATACTGACAATTCCAACAAACAATTATCACTTTTTTTTAATTGACACGCTCCAAGTAGTTAAACGAATATGCATACGAATTCGTAAAGATTAGTTAAACATTTATGTTAAATATTTGCAAACTTACCTGTCTTTATTGTATAATATCAAATTTGTGCACGTGCACTTACATAAAGATCATTACAATGCATGTAAAACATTTTTTTTTATTATTCATTATTCGATTAAAACAATATTCATTTAGATATTATTAAAGCTGTATAGGCAAGTTGACTGATGACATCACAAGCACCTGCTACCAGAATTTAGCAGATTTGCCGGTTGGCAAGAAGAACCAATATTTATATGCATTATATAGCACTAGAATTTTTAAAATCTAATAACTTTTTTATTTGTGGATCGATTTTTTAGATTCTTATATCATTTGAAAGTTTTTTACATTCATATTTTTGAAATGCAAGCGGATTTTCATTTTTTGCTTTTAAAAAAGAATGCTCAGCTATTTTTTAACTGTTATTTCAATAGTTTTCTAGCACCAAGTTTAACTCTTTACCAAGAAAAATGAAAGCGTTTTGTAAATTTATTTTTTAATTTTTAATATATGAGTAAAATGACCTTTCTAATGATATAAAATACTAAGCTGTTTCATAAAAAATAAGTTTGTTATTGTAAATATAAAATTACTATATTTTGCATTTTATTAGCCACCATATTTTTTGCCAACCACCCGAAAGTTACCTGTATATCTTATCAGCAATTTGTTACTATTAATAGATTTCATAACAATAACATGCAACTTGCCTATTGCATAAAAAACTATTTAAAAACATTGATTTATAATAAAATATTGACTTGGGATCAGTGGACGAGTTGACAAAATAATTATGGGTCGAATTGACCATGACACGAGTTGACCACGAGATCATGGCACGAGTTGACCACGAGATCGCATAATGTGTACTCGCTAATCGCTTGACCGAAGTCAGCACAGGTTACGCAGAGGTGAATGGGTTAAAAAGTTGAGATGCACTCTTATATGTTATCTGCATATAAAATCAGCGTGCGGCTAAAACAACACCAGTGGACGTTTACCCATCCATAAACTGGCAATGTATTATATTCATTCGTTAACATAATAATTTTAACTTGCGAAACGTATTATCCATATCATCATTTTCGTAAAAATTTCATACAGTAGCATATGCATGTATATGTGAATATAACTGATTAGAATTATTATGACATGATTTCGTGATAAAATATACCTGTATATGTTTGTTATGATGATTTGTGTTGAGCCCAGGTCAGAAATAAAATATGTGTTCTTTGTTCTACATTTGAGAAATGTTATATGCACTTAATACATTATCGAAACATTATATTTAATATAATACCTTTATGTTACGAAAAGTTGTATTCATTTCAAGAAGAAATTCAATTTTTGTAAAATTGCATAGAATAAAATTGAGAAATTATATATATACTATTATAGTTTCAAGTTTCACCGCAATGATGAATATGAACTTGAATATTTTTGTTGCACGCCTTCCACGTGCGCTTTTTCCCACGCTTCAACATGTATAAGGCTTAACTTTCTGTGCGTTTTTTCCCAATTTGTATGTAGGCTATTCATATAATAAAACAATAATTGACTAGTGTGCCACTAAATATGATGTGATATTCACCGGCAGACAGTCATATTGACCTCGGCTATCGCTTCGGTCAATATGTCATCTGGCGGTGAATATCATATCATATTAAATAGCACGCAAATCAATAATTGTATAAAAATATTAGTCTTTGTGGACATAAATCCATCCATAAACTGGCAACGTATTATATTTATTCAACTTTACATAATAATTTTAACTTCCGAAACAAGGTATCCATATCAGCACTTTCGTAAAAATTTCATACAGTAGTATAAAATAAACAGTATAAATGTGTTTTTATACAGTAGTATATATGTGTGAATATAACAGATGACATGATTTCTTGATGCATGCATTGTAATAAATATACATGAACATAAATTATGTATGTTCTGATGATGGGTGTTGAGCCCAAGTCAGAAAAAAAGTATGTGTTCTGTGTGTTCATGATATTCACTTCATAATTATCGAAGCATCATATTTATAACACTTAAATATAATAACTTTAACTTCAATTTTTGTAAAATTGCATAGCATACATTTGAGAAATGTGATATCCATTTCATCCCAAAAAATGTACAATTCATTTTTTTTTCAGTATCATATTAACAGTCATTTTTTTTTTCGAAAATCCTACCTGTGCTTATTCTTCCATAATTCCAAAATCCTCGAATATTTGAATTATCCTCGAATCCTCAAATTATTAAATATCTAAAATTACCACTAAACCCGAAATTTGTATAAGTTTACCCATATACCTCTATCCTTAACCTCTGAATAACCTCGCACTTAAGGTGGTTTATACATGTATGTTGGATGGAATATAGCATTGTTTATTATTATTCATAAATATCCCTTTAAATTTACTTATTTGTTATTTTATGCCATAGCTTTTAAATAAATAGGATTTTAAAGTGAGGTTTGCGCCACTTACACATATTTTATGCATGCTATTCGGTCGAGGTTCAATATCTGGATCATGGCAAATGTATAACAAACTTTTACTACGGAAGACCGATAGGGCCATTTTAACTTCATGAATTCCCGATATTCACGTTTTTAACAGACGTAATTCACGAATTCGCGATATCAGCTTCATGAATTCCAAATTCAACTTCACGAATTCACAATTTCCACTTAAAGAATTCGCGATTTCAACTTAACGAATTCCACTTCGTGAATTTACGATTTCAACTTCACGAATTTATAATGTCAACTCCATGAATTCACGATTTCAACATCTTGAATTCACGATTTCACTTCACGAATTCACGATTTCGTGAAGTTGAAATCGTGAATTCGTTAAAATGAAATCGGGAATTCATGAAGTTGAAATCGTGGAAGTTGAAATAGAAAATTCTTGAAGTTTATGAAATTGAAATCGTGAATTCATAAAATCGAAATCGTGAATTAATGAAGTTGAAATCGAGAATTTGTGAAGTTGAAATCGGTAATTCATGAACATGAAATCGGAAATTCATGAAGTTGAAATGTCCCCAAAGGTCTTTTGTATTTTACCGTTGTAGCACAATAGTTGCACTTGTGTAATATTCTTAATTCCGGAGTCAGTTTATTCGATAACAACGAAGTTTTCGCACGCGTAAAATGGCTGCGAAGGAATGGACAGCATGAGTTTCTTTCTTTAAAATGAGGCGTGCGAGAGGTCTTTTTGCACCTGTTGAAGATTTGTTTAATTGTTCAAATGGCGGGAAAGTCTATTGATTGGTTTAAATGTATCTGCGAATCGCCTGTTTCCGTCAGTAATAGGCGAGGTTTTCCGAAGTTAAAGAAGCAGCAAAACTTCGGTACACGGTTAACTCGGTCATGTATTAGTGCTTGGTGATATTGCAACGAAATTCTTTTTTATAGAAATCTGTACGGGTCAATATTGATCAGCGTTTACTCTTTGTTTGTACAATAAGTAAGAAGTCAAAGTGAAAAGTGTAAGCATGAGAATTAAATCAGTTTAACTAAATATACATCATAATTATATTCCAGCAAAAGTCTGAAAGCAAATTAAGCACTAAAACTCTACAAACACTCAACTCAGTAATACCATCTATTCAACTCAAATAAACTAAAAGAAAACAACCATTATAAAATTCACAGTAAAAAATAGTTATTGTTTGCACATGCATCCAGCATTTTCTCCAAAAATAGACTGACACGCAACCCACTTGCGGAAAACAGTATGCAAGACTCCTTGCGCGACCTGAATGTAGTGTGACCTATTTGAAATGCTGATATGCCTAACAATGCAACGCACTAGTCAGGTAGACAGACTGGTGTGCAATACAAAAGTAAGTACAAAAAATATATATAGTCTGTTCATGTTTCCTCAATAACATAACTATTTGTTCAAAAATGCAACTAAGTGCAACATATACTCGCATTAAGTAAATATATTTGTACTATATTTACGGTATACAAGATTGATCAATACATTTACTCTTGATTGACAATTATTTAAAGTTATATATACTCAACATCACTAATTCCGCGTCATCACTTATCTCACGGTAATGGCATATTTTCATGTGACCATTGACATAATTGGTCAGAATTGACATATTTTATTCAAACACCTTAACAACAAAGTTTTTGTGCAAAATAATTTAAATCTATAGATTTTTACGTAAAACTGAACAACATTTTACAAACTTCTGCAAAAAACAACAATAGTCCATTAAATGTGTGCATACGTCTGAAACAATCATCATTTTTCTAAATGTTCTTGTTTGTTGAAAAAATAAATTTTGAGTTACAGTGTAAAGATACTTTTAATATTTAAAATTATGCAAAATAACTTAAAGAAATTTTAACTGAAACATGAAAAAAACTGAAATAAAACACCATTACCGCGAGGTAAATGATGACATACTTTTTTCAAAATGGCCGACACTGGGTTTACATCTGACAAATTAAAACTAATTTTGATTGAATATATTGTAGTTTCCTTGTAACATGTAGCAGAAAAATGACTAAATGATACAGTTTAAGACAGTTTTTGTAATGTAAGTTTTTTGTTTGCGTTCTTTACTGTTTTAAAGTGTTAAGTACCGTGAACTAAGAGGAACACAATCTATATATACTGTATAGCAGAAAATTAAACTAGGAAAATCCCTTTTCCAGCTTTACAAAATATAGCTAAACCAAGTTGCCTGTATGAAGAGCTAAAAAGTACTTTAAGTTTTTGCATCACCTGATGTTGCGTGACATTGTTATATTTAGAAAAACATGCATAGGATAGCTGATTCTGCGCGACCTTTACATTGCGCGCGACATTAAGCTGCGTGATTATTCTAAAAATAACTGAGATGTACCAATGACCTAGACTGTTAATACAACAAAACCAGCCAGGTATACCCTGCAGAAAACTTGTTAATGTTGTAGCTGTTATAATGTTTCACAAAATAATAATCAATTAATACAGTGTAAAGGATTTATGAACGGAATGAACCATTGTTGTAATGTGTAATATAACTTTCATGTACATGATATTTTCCGATTTTTCCTTTTACCCATCTGTCCACCTCGTCGTTTAAGTACAATCGCAACTTCTCGGCCCTTTCCGTCAGTCTTCGGATACACAGAACGGATGCGGTATTTCGGTCTAACCTACGCTAAGAAACTAAACATGTAAACAAATAGTAATTTAATGCTGGAAGTTGTTGAAAAGTTTATTTCCAAGATATGTCGTAAAAGTCAAACAAAAAATATGTGAATTCATAGGTACAAAAGCAAACAATACATTATTTATATATTTATTATTATGGCTGAAGAAACCGAAAGTACAAAAAAACAACCTTTTGACATTTAGTCGGATTTGTTTAAAATTGAACATCAGTGGGCATATTTAAATTAAAAATTGTTGTCAGACATATTTTCAAGCATAAGAGTACCAGATCAGACATTTAATGTCAAATATATAAATTCGTTTTTCATTATCTCTGTTGCTGTTTAAATCTGAAACCACGTGGTAGAACAATCGTAACAACTCGGCAATCTCCGCGATAGCTCAGTTGGTTAAACCACTGATTATCACTCCTGAGGTCCCGGGTTCGATCCTGGGTTACACCCTTGGGATTTTTCAGAGACACTTTCAGTGTTTCCCACCTACCTAGAGGTGTACTGGTAAGAAATCCAGATAATCCTCGCATGTATCAGTGCTAAACACTGGGCATGTAAAAGAACCAAGGGGTCTATTCAATAAGAGCTAGGGACTGGTTCCCGGATTCCCTTGTATCTTAAAGCTGTTTCTTAAATGTATACAATGTATACCTGCTTAGAGTGATCGAAAACGATTTTAAAGCAGTATGATGTAGAAATAGAAAAAAAAGTTTCTAGAATTCTTGAAGAGTGGTGGTAGAACTTAATTATAGATAAAAGCCGAGGCAGTTCCGAATGTGAGGAAGCCATCCAGCTGGCTTACGGAAGGCCGGTGGTTCTACCCAGGTGCCCGCTCGTGCCTGAAATAATGTCCGAAGGGGCACCTGGGGTCTTCCTCCACCAATAAAGCTGGGAAAAAAAATCGACGAAAAATCTCGGCGGGACGCTCTAGGATGGCCCGACTTGAGTGTATATGGTCGCCCATATGGGCTTTCCGGCGGCGACCTTAAATATAAAACGCATTTTCCAAATGCGTTTTCCGGTTACAGTATAGAATTTTTAAGATGAAGGATTATTTATGGGAAGCGAGGTAGGTGATTTTTACATCAGTCTGAGTGAAGCCAAGGAAAGGGCTTTCAGGAATATGAAAAGCACCTACAGGAAAGCACTAATGAACAGTTTTGGTAGTAAAGTGGTTGGATTTTTATTCAGGTCCATACTAAAAGTAGTCTAGTTTCTTTAGGATATTTTGTGCTTTGCTTGTACGGAACAGGATCCGGTATCTAGTCAGACCCCGCACTGCAGATTTATCTCTATATTGTCAGGAGGGCGAAATACTAGGCGCATTTACAACCGGAACGCAAAAATGAGAAAATGTAACAATGGCTAACAAGCGCACATAATTAGCATCAACTATTGGTTTTTATCATTTCAATTGAAGTTGTTTTTTTTTTTATAGAAGTCACACATGTTTCCTGCTATTAGAAAATAAAGGCTAATACAATCTTCTACCTTACTCACTGAATTCTTGGTATGTGAAGATTTTTAAAGTGGTCTTCATGAAGAGAACACATTTCTTTTTTTTCTTCAGATGTTGAAACCCAAAATGATACGAGGGGCACGTTATTTTGTAAGTAAGTCTTACCAGTAGGCATAGAGTCCGAAAAAATATTCACAATGGACCTCTACACACCTTTCAGCCTCACAATCCATTCCGAAAAAAATATTTTTTTGAACTGTTCTTTAGGTATACTGATTATACACTGGAAGACAGCACTTCCGTTGGCACTACGGATTTCGAACCTATGCGTACACACTTTCCTTGATGGAAAACACATATGACGCACAAAGGCCCGATATGTCACTTATCTCCTCTATATTTTGCATCTTCATCAACTATGGCTTTGACAGTGCTATTAGACAATTGTACATATGGACGGGCATTTTCACCATAAACTACTGGTAAATCTAGATCTGTTTTTATTTCTGACGCGCATTTACCCAATAACCCACGAATTTTGCAAATAACTCTTTGCTCATCTTTCAAGACACAAAGCCATGTTAACAACCAGTATACAACCACATATATTTAGAGAACTTGCTTAAAATTTAATGCACATATAAATCGTGCGAAAATAGACTGTTGGTAAAGAACAAGAGCAATCAGTGATCACATGTGTCGCCTCATGATGGCCAATTTCATGTTGGGTCAAGTTTTGCGACATACGGACAGTGCACAGTTAAACTTGGTACTGATCATTCCTGTAAAGTTTGGATAAAATTGCACCAGTAGTTTTTGAGGAGTAGTCCGGACAAGCTTTTGTGTATCTGGCA